TCTTAGTGCGTTTAAGGCACGTGCAGCTCCGCAAGACAGTTTTCTGTGTCCTGGTTGACTCTCATTTCATTTTAGTTCACAGATAATAGCAAAAGAAGATCTGTGTATTGCCAGTGGCAAGGTAAGTTGCATCTCAAGCTGGACATAACAACAGGGCCACAGTGTTGAGACATTAAATAAGTTACTTGGGGTTGTAGGTTGTTTTGTTGCTGGTTTTGCCTTTTAGCCTTCATAGCTTGGTTTACATCTGAAGTGTGAAAAATTGTATGATAGAAGTAAGTATCTTTGCTTATGTGGCCAGCGTTTTCCTAGATATTGTACTTCAGCAGCTAAGCCAACTGTATCTCACGTGTGCCAACCTTCTTTTGATAGCTTGCTTGGGTGTTATACTGCGATATCATGTGCTTGGACTATGATGGGAACATTCTGGATGCCAGTGCCTTCGCTTTGTTAGCAGCGTTGAAAAATGGTAAGTCCTGGCTAGAGCAAGAGACGCACCGGTGGGCGTTGCCTGGAGAGGTGTGTTAGCTTTCAGTCACGGAGGACAGGTAGCGAGTTCTCAGTTCCTTAAGGCCGCTGGTTTGCTGTTATTTGAATGCTGAATGGTGAAAACACCAACACAAAGCGGATGTGACGGTGCGGATGCCGTAGGTGTGTAATGCCTGTGGAGCAGGATCGTTTTGTATGTGTATTATTGCTGTCCTGTAAGACTAACAGCTTTTCTGTCCTTCTGAATCTCTGGTGGTAAATTTCAGTGTCTGCAGCAGGGCCTTACCTTGTTGATGTGTTTAGTATGGGCAGAGTAAGTTGTGGGAGCTTTGCTTATTTGTCACAACAGAATATTCCTAGCTTAATGCATTACAGCTTGGAAAAAGTGGGTTGCATGCACGCAACACGATTGTTCCCAGGTCTGTGGGCCTGTAGGAGGCAGGCTAAAAGGAATCTTACTGCAAGGCCCCTTCTCTAACCATGAATGACTTGCCTTTGACTTCCTATGGCTACTTTGCTCTTGGTTTTCTTGTCTCCAGCACAGTGTGGGTTGTCAGAGCAAGAGTTACCTGAGCACCGGATTGCAGTTTCTACAGATGTATAAAACCCACGAGATGAGACTCTATTCCTGATTTTTATGTGACCAGTAGGCTTTTGGGGAAAAATACTCTTCGTTAAGTATGACTCTAAAGCATTGTAATTGTATGGCATTTTGGAAGCAGAAAATGCTTCTGTGTCAGGAAGAACGTGACCTTGAGGAGAAAAGTTAAATACTTCCTTGAACAGGGAGTTCTAAGCTAAATACTTTACTCGAACTCGGGATTTTTTTTTTGTACAGAACAGCAGAAATGCAGCCAGGACTCTTTTCGGATGGATTTTCAGTGGCTTAAAAGAACAGCTTAAGTATTTTGGTTCTCTTGGATGCTAAGCCCAGCCATGTTTAATATTACAGCGTTGTCGCTTTCTCATCTCTTCAGTACAGTTGCCATCAGTTACTCTAAATGAAGAAACTGGCGTAACAGAAGTTAACTTGAAAGAGAAGAATCCCCTGATGATCCGAAAGCACCCGGTTGCCACATCGTTTGCTATATTTGATGAGTAAGTTCATAATGGTTTCGTACTTGTGAACGCAACTGTGTGTGTGACAGAAGGGAATTACGGCAGAGGGTGCTTCCAGCGCTGTTCCCGCTGGTGAGGAGCGCGCAGTCCGTTGCGGCGCCGTTACGTTTGCTCCTACGTCCGAGGCCTCTCTTGCTGGACTGTAGTTCTGTGGGACGAGTGAGTGCGCAGGGCAGAACGGAGCCTGTCCAACTTCTTCCCGTGCCTTAAAGCAGAACTGCCTCCATCCTAAAAGATCTGCGTGGAAGGAGAGGGCTGGGCGTAGGTCTGCTTGTTTGCAGTGTCTTTGAGATGAAAGAATGTTACCGAGGTAGTTACATTTTGGAAGCCTGTGTAAATATCTTGTGTAAAAGATGGTAGTTTTTGAACAGCTTATACCAAGTATTTGGTCAACAGACGAAGTAAGAAGTGATGGTCCGTTAAACATAACGTAATTACCCAAGATGACGTACGACCAGCACTCTTAAGTCATTGTTCATGTAGGTGAAGAATTGATTTGAGAGTTCAAAACTAATCACACCCGACAACCTGACTCCTCACCTGAAATTGTGTACCCTCCGTGGTCTAAGTCTGTGTTCTGCCACTGTTCTTAGGAAGTGCGGGTGTTCACGGTCGTGTCCACAGTGACAAGTGGGATGATGCTCACTGAACTGAGAACCTGATGCAGGATTTGGGTATGTTTAGAGACTGTGGGGTTTATGGCACGTTAACTGTAGTCACAGAAATGACCGATGGGCCCTTCCATTCAAATAGACGGGGTGGAGGAAGCACTGAAGTCAGGCGTTGACCCAAGCGATTATTGCCGAGACGGATCAACGCAGAGTGTTACCACTACTTTGGGGTGATTCCATTCGTGAATGCCAGCTGCTGCGGGGCTGCAGCTCGCTGCAGACGGAGCGCCAGGGGAGGCGGACAGTCATCACTAGAATTATTATTTGCGCACATGCCACACATGCCTACCGACAGACAAAAGGCTGCCTCTGAAAGAAATCCTTCCGTGAGTCTGGGGGGGCGCTGCTCCCCTCACCGAAACCGACTGCTGCGTCGGGCAGGTTACGTCAGTCTTCCCTTGCCTCCCAGAACTAAATATTGAGGGGGTGTGTGCCTGCTGGGTGGTTTGGGTTTGGTTGTTCCTTCCTGGTTTATCAGTTTTTTACAGCTGTTGACACAGCCCCCCTAAGTAATATGCTTGACACACTCTGGCTTCCAGAGACGTTTGTCTTCTGTGTCAGAGGCCTCTCTGAATCCATAAAACTTCAGGGTTGCTGGCTGGTGTGGCTGTGGGTGGGGGAAGCTGGTGCAGGGCACGATGCGGCTCCACAGCCGGATGTAGTGGCGTCAGCCTGCCCGCGGACGCTGTCCAACGCAGCCAGCTCTCCCCGTGCGCCGCTTTCCTCTGCCGTGCAAAGGGCCGATGCCGCACGAGAGTGGGATCCCTAACGTGGTGTGTTCGAGTGGCATCGTAAGGAGCTGTGGTTTTGTGACGCCGTTGCCATTCAACAGCAACCTGAAGCTATCGGGGAGCTTTTATATTGCCCAGAAGGGTTTCAGTTCCGCACTGCGTGAGTGCAGGCTGAAAAGCCCCGTTCGCCTCCCATCTGTTCTGTGTGATCAGCCATGCCACCCGCTTCCCCCCAACGTGCCATAAACCTCACTTAGTGCTGGCGTGCTCCCGCTGCTCAACTGAGTTTGATCATGGCCTGCTAAATTTCAGCTCACTGCTGTAAACCAAGAGCAAAGTTGGCTTATAGTCTAAATCCTTTTTTTTGTCCCATGGGGTTTGCTCTATTTTTAACTTATTAAATGGTTCAAAAGTAGCAATGTTTAATCAGTTTCAGTGACGTGCATCATGTGATGCACGACAACTTGTTTTGGCTGCCATGAGGAACCCAGTAAATCCCTTTTTGAACTGCTCCCAGTCTGAGTGGTGGTAGAGTTCTGACGGGAACCTGAGAACTGTGTGGGTGAATGTACCCGTGGAACTGTGTTTTGCTTTCAGGGCTGGTAGAGACGAGCGCCGTCTGCACCCAGACCAGTGCCGTTGTCTTTGGGCAGCTGTGAAATAGAATCACAGAGTGGTTTGGGTTGGAAGGGATGTTAAAGACCATCTAGTTCCAACCCCCCTGCCAGGGGCAGGGACACCTTCCACTAGACCAGGTTGCTCCAAGCCTCATCCAGCCTGGCCTTGAACACTTCCAGGGATGGGGCATCCACAGCTTCCACATCCACAAATACTTGTGTACTCCAGATGCAGCTCAGTGACGTTTTCCTGCCATAGGTGGGTGTCGCAAATCTGTGAAACTGGGGCATGAAGCTGTTTTCAACTGATAGTATCGTAACAGACTTAGGCACTTGAATACGTGGAATGTCCCACATTTCTTGATTTTTCTTAAAATTGGTGTATTTTGAGAAGAGAGGCCTGAGCGCTACATCCACCTACAAGTATCTTGTAAGCCTACAGTGACAAGTAGCGTGGTTTATTTTGCGATGACGTAAATGGAGCGAGGTATGCTGACATGTCTGTGCACGGTTTTCTTCCACAAGCACGTTGCTCATCGTCGATCCAACTGCTGAAGAGGAAGACCTGGCGACTGGAACGGTAACTGTTGTAACCGATGAAGAAGGCAGGCTGTGTTCTGTCCATAAACCAGGTACTTCCAAGCTTATTACCCAGGAACCTTTGGAGACGATAATCTTTGCTTGACCTGGCTGTTATGTACCTGCTTTTCGTTGTCAGATGTGGGTGCTTTATGATAACGAACCGTCTCCTTGAGTACCTACTGACTGACTCGCTCTTGAAATTCCTTTTCAAAAAGGTGGCACCACTGGAGTTTTGTGAGAACCACAGAATGGTTTGGGTTGGAAGGGACCTTAAAGACCATCTAGTTCCAACCCCCCTGCCATGGGTAGGGACCCCTTCCACTAGACCAGGTTGCTCAAAGCCTCATCCCGCCTGGCCTTGAACACTTCCAGGGATGGGGCATCCACAGCTTCTCTGAGTAGGTCAAGAAGTTGGAGCTTGAGCTGGGTGACAGCAAAGGGTTTTGAGCACCTCTCTCCTGTTCCACCTCTAGCTTGGTCCTGTTTTCTTTGCCTGAGGCTAGAGTAAGGGAAGCCGTACGCTCCCCAGGTGAAAGGTGTCGGTCGTGGCATTTACTGTATTACTTCCTGTTCTCATTTGGGAAACATGTATTTAGAGTTACATAACTGAAGTACAAATAGAAAATCAAGTTGTTTCCTTTAATGTTTAGGTGGAAGTCCTCTTACAGGAGCCAAGCTTCAGGACTGTATCACCAGAGCAATTACAAGACACAAAGAAGTGAGGAAGCTGATAGACAAAGTAATGAAAAGTATGGAGCCCCAGTGAACAAAAGGAGAGATCTTTTCAAAAATGGATTTGTAAAAAGTGTATTTGTTACAGTGTTCACAAACCTTTTATACTAAATAAACAAATACCCATACTACATTTACAAAGCTTGTTTTTTCCAAAATGTTTGTCACCCTTACACTATGTACAGTGATGCGCATTGGTAAAAAATACAGGGTAAAATGTTCTGTTACAAAAATGAAGTGGTTTAAGGATGCCAGACCCTAGCTGCCTTATGGGTGAAATATCCAAGTTCTCCAGGGTTGGCTTCCAAAACCAGTTCATGTATTTCAGTGTAACATCAAAAATTCATTTTCTCACCAGCAAAAACACTTTGCTGTGAAGCTTTTTCCTTTTTTAATTAACAACAACAGAAAAATCCCCTATGAATCAATGTTGTGTTTAGAGGGGGCAGGGGGGAAGAGCGAGTCTCAGGATTTTGGAGGGACTGTCACGCCTCTTTTCCTTTTACTTTTTGAGAGGCTGCCTGAACGCTGCTGCCGCCGGTGAGCTGCTCGCGTTGCTGCCGCTGTAGCCGTTCGATGCCGCAAGAATCGCAACTGCTGCCGTGAAGAAGGGGGAGAAAAGGCTCGTTAGTGCTGTCGGTGGAGCTGTTCCACATCGGGAAGAATGAGGAGGGAGGATGCGGGGGGAGCAGAGTAAGCGGGAGCACCGGGCTGACAGAAGGAGCGCGCCGTGTACTGGGGTGGTGATGATGATGATGAGTACAGTCGAGCAGCACCAGTGGCACAGGCGCCAGCCGAGGGCACGGCTGACGCTGTGTGTGGGTGTGCAGACAGCTCTGTGCCTGCCCTTTCTCTCCAGTGCAGTAACTCAGCAACTTCAGTGGTTGTTCGGGCTGCGTACTGCAGTAACGTCCCTCTCAGATATGCAGCCTGGGAAAGCTCTGTACCGCAAAGAGGAGACTGTGTGCTAAAAAAACTGCTGGAATACTTCCATGGAGCACCTGAGGGACAGAGTGCCGAAGGAACACTCTGCCAGAGCAGCTGCTCCTGTGCACAGACCAGCAGTGCCACACTCAGAGGTGCTCACCTTGGTGCTCTTGAAATCCACAGGCACCCGGCAGAGCTGACTGAGGTGTGTGCCACCAGCGCTCCTTGAGTGCTAGCAAATCGGGAAGGTGGATGGCTTCAACCAGGAAAAATAAATTCAGTGCTCCAAGCAGAGAGAACCACAGATTTCATGATGGAGTTTTCCAAAATTGATGGGTTTTCATTTGCAAGACCATAAAGGCATTATTAAAAAAAAAAAACCACCCCAAAACACAAAGGGGCACGAGTTGTGATTTTGGAGCCGAGAACTGTATTTTTTCCTTTTTTTTTTTTTGTTGAACACAGAATGAAGTTGCTGGATTACTTTTTATCTGTTGCTGCTGCTGCACGGCAGAGGAGAGCTGGAGTCTCTGCTGAGGGAGGCTTGGCCAGGGTCTGTTCATGGCCGAGCCAAGCCGAGACAACACTACGAAAGGACAAGGGGAAAGCAGGCAGGTCACAGAGGTCAGGTCGAGCCTCTCAGGGTCAGAGACAGAGGAGCAGAGTAGGGGGAGCAATAGAATTAGTTTCAAACTGGAAACGGTGCAGAATAAAAAAGACGTGATACACACACTCTGTTAGTTGGAACAGTTAGATTATGAAGTGCTTGTGGAGACACAAAGGGGTTTCTCGTACTGGATGTTAAGGACACGGTTAAAGAAACATCCCTCCATGAAGTCTGGAAGTTCCCTGACTTTTGGCATCAAGCATGACTTATTTTCACGTGGCATTACCAATTTACTACACTTAACTGCCAAAGCAAGCAGGGAAGTGCCTGCTTTGGCAGTCCAGCATCTCTTGCCTAATTCAGGTGCTGATAATACACAGTGAAACCGTTCCAATCCAACTTCGTGGAGCCCAAACTTCATTTCAGTGTGAATTTCTCCACGTACACGCTTGACCACAAAAAGAGGCTCAGCAAGCACGTACCTGTGGCTTGAGGTTGCATAAAATTCCCTACTCCGGTCAGGTTAATTACAGCGGCTTGTTGGGCAGATAATGCCTGATCTTGATTGGATGGACCTTGGTCAGACCCCTAGCAAAAATGAAAAGCTTGATCCTTATTGCCAAACTCTCCTACCCACCAGTAAGTAAATAAAGCCAGCGTGAAGGCAAACTTTTGAAGTGCCAGTTAAAAACCCTTTAATTCTACATCTTCCAGCACACGTAGGTACAGGCTACAGCGTCAAAGCAGAATGATGCTGAGCACCCCAAAACAACTGCTCGGGCAGAATCGGTATCATGCCGGTTACCCAGCAGAAGTCCCAGGTAGCTGTCAACGTCCCCGCAGTTGGCAGAGACGACAGTTTACAGCTGTAACCTCATGGCATTTCCTGTCCCCTTCCCAACCCCAAAGTCTCCAGGTGACACCTTAAGCCATCCATGTGCAAAGGTCCTAATCCATCGATATAGGAAGAGCCCGAAACTTAGAGCTGCACGTTCGTACTGCGCCACGCCCGCCTCAATTTCATAAATAATACCAATCTGGCTTTTAAAATACTCCTTTGAGAGCAGAGGAGTTCTCACGGTGGTGACCCAAATGGAATTAGAGGAGTCTCACCCGGTTCTACTGAAGTCAAAGGGTCCTGGATTATGACCTCGTCTAGAACTTTGATTACACACTAATTCAGGAAGCGGGGAAATAAAGCATTATGTGTGCAACTGAAGGACACTGCATGGCTTATCAGGCATTAAAAAAAAGCTCAGGAGCCCATGCATTTCCAGGAGTTGGAGTGCTTCTTTAGAACAACCGTATGAAATAATGCCACCAAGATCTAGGAAAACCTGGCTGAGAAGATGCTACATCACTCATCTTCACCAAGATGACGTCTTATGGCGGGCTTACAGAGTCACAGAAGGGAAAAACCCCCAAGGACGAGACAAGGATGTAAGAGCACATTGTCTGTGCTCTTGGCGGCACAGACAATGGTTGGTCTTTCTGGCTTGGTTTTTTCCCCACGAAGCACCTGGCTCACAGCCCACGAACGCATCCAGCCCTGTCCTTAGCGACAAGCTCAGCAATCTACTGTTCCTAACAGCTGACGACCCTGGTCTCGCTCTACGACGTGTGGCAAGAAAGAAGTTCCTTCGGGCAAGCTACTGACGCAGAGAGGCTGCTTTCCTCCAGAACTTTCTGCCACAGGAAGGACCAGCCTTACACCGGCTTTTTTTTTTTTGGTGTAAATGCCCTTAAAGTTCAATGTCTAGAAAATAAACCCCATAGTATGAGCTTGCATCCATTTTTTTATTTTAGTAATTCAACTAGTAACTGACATTTGGATTCCGAGAGTAAATCTGAAAAGTTTCCCATTAAACCGTCCCACATTCCAGAACAAGGCCTGTGACACCGCAGAAACATTTTAAGGAGGCAGCTTACTTATGCACAGGAGCACAAGCAAAATTGCTACGACAGAGTATCCAGCAGGGACTACCTGGCAAACTGAAGTCTTGCTTGTAAGGGAAGACAAAAGGTAAAGAACGCAAATCAGTGCAGCTAGTTCCCCCAGACTGCTGCAATAATGCCCGGTGAGGATTTTCAGGCCCAGGTAGAACCAGCCACTCAAAATTTGTCATGCTGAGAACAGTGGTGTCTTATCAAGACTTTAGACTTCTTCAGTGATTAAAGCCTTCAACACTAATTACAAGCAGTGTAGAGCAAAGGTCTTTGGGTTACAGCTTTAAAGACAACTGATGCTTTCCCTGGTGCAAAGAGAAGGCTTACACTGGGAGACAGCAGTGAGGACTGTAAGCCAACTCACAGCAGTGCAAGTTGTAGTTACCCTGGTAATCCTCACTGTGTTCCCTCCTGTCCCCCTTCCCTGTGTTCCTTCATCTGATGCACCTGCTGGTTATGTACACAGGACAATACTAAGCTGAGTTTACACCACTCGTACGGTGGGCTGGCGCTCTCCGCGCTGGAGTAAGACAACACATAGCCAGTTGTTCTGTTAGAGCTCCTCTAAATGGGATGGATATACGCAGAGGAGTATAGCCCAGCTCCAGCCACGGCAGCAAAGCCACTGCAGCCTTTGCAGTCTGCCAAGGTTTGGGAGGGAGGCTTTCCTCCTGCTCTGCTTCCGATCTGTTGTGCAAGGCTTTATGTGTGGGGAGGGGAAGAACAGGAGAAAGTGCTTCATGCACACACCCCAGGCCAAGGGCTGTTAGCACATACCTGTTCTCCCTGTGGCTGAGGGCTACAGGCTGTAGGCTGCTGGGATTGTTGCTGTGGAGAAAACTGGGACAGATGCTGCTGGAGTGGGTTAAAAATAAAGTAAACCTCCTGGAAGCCGTTAAAGATTGAAAACAAAAGGCATAGTTCAATCAAACTGCTGAGCTTCCCACTGTCCAAGGATGAACATGACATTGATATGATGTACTCCTTGGCGGTTTGGGTTGGGTTTGTTGCGGTTTGGTTTTTTTTAAAGAACTTTAAATAATGTAAAGTGATTCACAAAGTAAAAAAGCCTTATGCTCAGAAACCGAACCTGCATTAAATTATGGCGAGATTATTTCCACAGGAAAATACATTTTTATTATTCCAATTAAAAGTAGAAATTGCACGGCTACTGGAAATGTAACGGCTACTCTTTAAAGCGCTGCTTATTATTTACACTTTTAGAACATTCCACTGAATTTTAGTAGCTGCTTCCAATCAGCAAGCTGCCAGGTCTGAAGCAAAAAAAATGTTGAACAGCCTCGATCGCTCTCCCTTACCCCAGCTTTCATCGCACCGACTTCAGCCAAACCTATCCTTGGCTAACACAAGTGGCAGAGGTAGCTTGAAATACTTCAACATGGAACCACGCAAATACAAGCATTCAATTTTATGGAAGAGCTCTACTCTGGCATAACCGCCTCCTGTGCCTGCCCTTTTTCCCTGTTTCTGGAGTGTGTACAGGACTGGGAGGAGGAAGTAGCAAAGCTACAGCTGATCTTTTACTGGTATTAGTTTTTTCTGAAGCGTGCTGCAACGTGTTGAATACTGAAGCTGCACTTCTGCACCTGGAACTTACAGCTACTTCAAGATCCAGGAACTGCACTCAGTTCCACAAACACTCCCTGTTCTGCTTTTAAATGGGGCTCTGACACAGCAAGGAACCTCTGCTCAGGTTTGTATGTATGCGCAGTGGAAAGAAAACACTCACAGACCTAAACTCTACCTCTTATATGAGCTTCTATTTCCATTACCAGAAGCTCTTTAAAGCTGTTACTGCACCTACGTGTCCATGTTTGACTCAGCTTTTAGGCCCTGTATTATAGAGTGGTTTGGGTTGGAAGGGACCTTAAAGACCATCCAGTTCCAACCCCCCTGCCATGGGCAGGGACACCTTGCACTAGGTTGCTCAAAGCCACATCCAGCCTGGCCTTGAACACTTCCAGGGATGGGGCATCCACAGCTTCTCTGGGCAACCTGTGCCAGTGCCTCACCACCCTCTCCGTGAAGAACTTCCTGATATCCAATCTAAACCTCCCCACTTTCAATTTAAACCCGTTACCCCTTGTCCTGTCACTACAGGCCCTTGCAAAAAGCCCCCCCCCAGCTTCCTTGTAAGCCCAAGTGATTCTACTTGTATGGTTTTGTACTTTTAAAATAATAATAATTTCAGTTTAAAGAATGATTTGCAATAATTGTTTTTTAGCATTAATCTCCTGAATTCAAATGTCAGCATTTTTAGTCTGTTACTGAGAAGTACCTGCTTTGTTGTGAGCTAAGAATATAATTTGCGCCAGGTATCTTTATGGAAGTAGCTTCTTCTCTTGTTCTTAGTGTTTTAAATGAGCAATTAAAGCGTGCAGTAAATAGTTTGTCTGATCAACTGGCTTCAAAGATCTGTGGAGGGCAATGCAGTAAGCAGCACTAAACAAGTCTCTACAGAAAATTAAGAAACTATCATTGTGTTCAAGTATTTTGATTACCTGGAGGAGATTTAAGGGCCGAAGATTTGATGCATTTTTCAAACCAAAGGGGCTGCCTGTTAAAGAAAACATCTTTTTATTAGTAGGAAGTCTTTACTTAATTATATATGTGTACTGCAATTAATACACCTTTCCACTGGGATAGTTTCTAAGCATTTGGAAGTTGGGAAAACTGGCAACTTTAGATTTTATACTTAACACAATGCTGCATTTTCTGTCATGTTGGTAAGTCCATAGTTACCACATTCAAAGAGAAGTGACTAAACCGAAACAAAACTGTATTGCTGCTAAACACTGTATCCTGTAACCTATTACTCATTAATGCATTTACACAAAGGTGAATATGAAGAATATAGAATGGTTTTGGTTGGACGGGACCTTAAAGATCAACTAGTTCCAACCCCCCTGCCATATCATAGTGATTACTCTTCAGTGATTCTTCTGGCTTTCAAAGACTTTACTGTTTGTACAGTAAATCCAGAAGTGTCCAAGGGCTCAGTGGAGTAATAAGCTCCCAGTTTCTCAGTCCTTACCAGAAACCAATCCCTCCCAAAATCTTAGCAACTGCTCAGCCCCCAAGGCCTTCTGGCAAGACATATCTGACTTGCAGAGCTTTTGGCATTATTCCACGTGGCGCTGCTCAAAGCTGCACTAAAAACCCGTAAATGCATATGTAAAACTGTGAGTTGGGTATAGAACTGATACAAATGCTCCAGTAAAACAGCGACTGTCAAACAGACCCCCCTCTTCCCGCCCGAGGTCTGCCACCGACCTAGCGCAGCGCACTGCTCCCACCTGTTACGTGGGAGACAGCGTAGCACGCAAAAATCTCTGACACCAAACTGCTGAAGGCTGAGCGTGCTTGAAAGGATAGAATTAGAATTAAAAGTGAACCTAGTGAATTGAAGAAAAAGGGCCCAAAAATCAGTAACACCGAATTAAAAAAAAAAAAAAGGCAAATGAACAAGTACAAAATAGTGAGCAACTAGCTTTGTGTCTGTACAGCAAGAAAGGAGGTGAGAAGTTACAGCACGTCACAAACATCTCCAAACCATCCGTACCACAGACTACAGGACACACAAATGAAAAGAACCTCTTCACACAGTTTACATTTATAAAACTCACTGTCACAAGATGCCGTAGATGCCAAAAATATAAACAGATTCAAAACCCAATTAGATAAATCCACAGACTAGAAGCACAGGATGTGAAGCACAAAGATCCACGTGGACAGCCTTCAGCTGAGAGAGTTTCCAGCTGCAGAGTGCCAGAAGAGGTAGTTGTATACAAGGGACATCTCACTTCACACTTTTGCCTCGTCTTAAACTCTCTCCTAAGTGTCCTCTAATGGCGACTGTCAGAGACAGAATATAAACTGGATAGGTTTTTGGCCTAAACCAGTAAAGGCATTCTCATGTTAATGTAACTCTGTTGCAAAAAATACAAATATGAAAAAAAAAATAAGCAGACCTCATTTGGGAAAATGTTAACGGGAATGTTGTGAAAGAGATGAGATGCATTTATTCTGCTGTGCTCCACTGTGGTAAATCAGCCAAGCTCAGGCTTGTGTCCAGTTTGGGTTATCACATTTTAAGAAGGATGTGAGCAAATGGGACAGTCTAGAAGAGAGTGACAGCATTACGAAAGGTTTGAAAAATACGACCTATCGGAGAAGACAGACGTGGGACACAACAGCATGTTTGATACTTAGGAGATAAAGAGAAAGGGTGAACAACTAGTTTTCGTGTCTGCAAAGAATAGGAGAAAAAAAAATACTTAATTTGCAGTTATGGAGATGCATTGTAATTAGAAGGAAACATTCTGTGCGGATAATGAACTACTCCAACCAGCAACCAAGGGAGATTGGAATCTTCTTTAGAGCAGGTATTTAAAGACAGTTTAGATAAGCATTGGTTCAGTACGGTTTAGACAGATTTGACTTTGCCTCTCCGCAAGGGATGGGTACCTTGAAGTATATTCCATAGTTATATATTAGCGATTTTTGTCTTTATTTTCAGAAAAAATAAACTAAGAATTTAAATGCTACTTCAATGAATACTGAGGCATACAGATTTATACACTCATTTTGGAAGGCAATAAGGAACTAGTTAATTGTCCTACTAGAATAAAGCTGATAAAACAAAATGCCCCGCATAGTTAAAAAACGAGGCCTCTAAGTTCAGCCATGCCCATTTTCTGGCAGTCATTGTTACCAATTTGGCACTGGAATTTGGAGTTCATCTCAGTCTTCCTATGAGGCACACCAAACAATCCAGGTTTAGAGTATGCTTCCCCAGACTAGCTCCTCCAAATCAATGTCAATCAATCACAACCGTAGCCTGCACTTGGCAAAAAACATGGATGTTGGTCCCGAGCTCCAGCCATCAAATACACAATCTAGTCACACAACAGCCACTTTTGCCCACTGTTCACAATATGTTGCCACACTGTCCCTGACTGAAGGGTGGCTTTTCACACTAACCTGCTTGAGACAGCTTGTTCACACTAACCTGCTTGAGAGGCAGACTGCATTGCAGCGGGCAGCGCACTTGGTACCAGACCTCCTGATGGTAAAATGCCACTCAGATTTATACCTCCAGGGGCTATGGCACCAGTGTTGCACCCCAGCATAGGTTTTGAACCACTCATCAGTGTCTGTGCTCCACTGCGGAAGAGGAAAGACAACACATCAAACCCAACTAGTACAAGCAAAGCGGAGTAACTCTATTTTTTGCCCTCTGTCTCATAGCAAGTAAATCAATTGTTTGCAGTAAATGGGATTGTGGGTAAAGCATCAAGGCAGCTTAAAAGAATCGGCATGCCTAAGCCGTAACAAATCCGTAAATCCATACTCCCAGCATACGCTTTTTTTCCATTGGTATAATCTAAGCAAAATAAACCACAAGTGGTTCCTTTAGTCTAGAAATACTGAATTATCAATAGTCTTCAGAAGAGTTGTATTAGCATAACCAAAAGTTAAGGAACAGGTCTGCGTTTTCTGTTTGCACTACAGAAAAGAAAAAAAAAAAAAAGGAGATCCCTGTAATCGACAGTGATCCACTGCTGAACGCCCTGGATGAGTAACTCAAGTGTCTGATACCTGCACTGAAGCACATGATGTGTCTTACGCTGACCATCACAGATACTGACCACAGAATTTCCTTTAGTCTCAAAAGCAGTGCGTGTTATTGCCAGCGGCATTTTTTTTAAAACCAAAAAAAAAAAGAGTTTTAAAGATCAAAGAATGTTTAACAGCAATGCTTGATCAAATTCTTAAAAAACAGATCTGCTGTTTTCTTGTATTGTACACGCCACCTTTCATTTACAGGCACTTCCCTTTCAGATCTCCATTTTTCATTCGGTGTGGTCTGCACATGGTATTCTACCCCCTCCCCAATTAAAAGTTTTCAAACTTACAGAGCAAAACCTCAGAAACCACATAAATTGAGATTAAGCTTTAGGAAATTAAACTATATGCATCCAAAATGCTGAAAGCACAATTTTCTTAATAGACCTTTCCGGTATTCTAATAGTAGGTGCCTTATATTTGAGAAATACAAGAAGTTTCTAGTGGCTCTTCACTTTATAATTAATGAAATCATCTTGTATTGCAGATCTTGAAAACCATCCATCCTAACGGATGCTGGATAGTCATGTATCATTCCCACCCTGCCCACGGCAAATTAAGAAACGGTCGTAACGAAGGACTTACCACACAGAGCCCACTACATTGATGAAGTTAAGTCCTGCAGAGTTTGCCATGACCTGGGTGGAGGTGGTTCCTGTAGTAATGGATGTTACCATGGTGGAAAGAGGAATGGTCATTACAGGCAGTGCCTGGCTCAGAGACATCTGCTGCTGAGCAAATGGGGTTAACAAAGTGGGCTGAGGGGTGAAGCCTGAATCTTGGGGAGTAGGGGTGGCAGAAGGGGTAATAGGAGTTGAGCTCTGAGCATCAGGAGGGTGTGGGGTCGATGAAGGGGTGTTGGTTGGAGTAGGAGTAGATGGTTTAGGAGTTCCAGACCCTGCTCATTGAGAAAAATAGAAAATGCTAGTTTGTTATAAAAGGCCAGTCCTTTTTGTATAATAAGGTTAATGGAATCTTATTTAGCACTGACAACTTGTTCCATTTTTTAGACTGCAAGTGTTAATTTCTACACAACACGAGTGTTGCAGCACACACTCATTGTTAAGGATGCAGTATAATCACAGAGAAAACCCATTCTCCATGCTTGATTCCTTAGGCCATACACCGATTTGTATCCTCCATAAAGTCCTTCCATAATTTATCATATATTAAGCCATAACTCCATTCAGAAATACTTGAAATAATTTCTTAGTGACCATTTTAACCTAATTGATGTTGTTGTCCTAAGATGTTGGAACATAGAGTCTATATGCACTGCCTGCACAATAGCATCATGGAAAACAACAGATTCAACAAAGAACATACACTATTACAATAATCATGGGGCTGGTTAAATTTCACCAGGTAGCTGAACTCCCATTTGTCAAATTTTAATCAAATAATGTTTTCATATTGAAGAATCATAGGATAACACTGCATCTTTAAAAAGTTGCTGTGCAATGCCTTCTGTTTAAACGTAGCATATATAGCTGTATTTGTTGGGGATGCAGTAAGCAGTTTATCAATAGAAAACAAAACAAACCCCCCCCAAAAGGTTGAGGTGGGTGTTTTTTTTTTTTTAGCTTTCATGGCCTGCAGAAAGAAAGGAAATAAATGTGAACGTCCAGCTGCTGTGACTACAGCCTTAAAGTAACAACTGCGTGCAGCAGATTCACACAGTTCATAGCACTAACAAACACAGAGTAAATACGTTAGGAGAAAACTTTTAAAAGTTTTCTTTTTTTTCTTTGTGCAAAACAAGAAATCAGCAAAGTTACACCTTTTGAGCTATCCAGATTTTAAATTATTTAATGCAAGAAGTGTATTATTATACTGTGCAGGATACTGGAATGTGCAGCATACAATTATTCATAAAAAACTGAAAAACTACATCTAGGATTTCTCTTTGTACAAATCTGTTCATGAAATGTCTCAAGACGCATACATATTTTAAAAAGTGTTTGTGATCTCTGGCTAAGATTACAACGACCCTGTCAGCGTTAATGAAAACACTTGAACTAGGATGGCACTTGTGACTGAAATTTACATTTTTAACACCTCAGAATATGGTGCTATCATCAGCAGCATCACCGCCACACTTGCAATCAGCAATGATTTGTAAAACAGTGTAGGAGTGTTTTAAAAAATCATCTTATCGTTTATTGTATCACCACCTTGGGACTGATCAGATTATATACATACAGAGAGATACAACTGCACCAGCTCCTATAACATTTAGAAAACCAGATGCTTAAAATTATGTAAAAGCAAACTGATCTAACACACTGTTTTTACACTGGAGGGAAAAAATAATCTACACTTTGGAATTTTATGTCATCACATTATCTACCAGCCTTTCATAAATGAGATCATACTAATTGCATAAAATGCATTAAAACGTATACACAGAGGGTGCATACATATATACAGAAAAAACGAACACAGTTACAATAAACATAAAATACATACAGTGAACAAGAGACCTGCCTAAAGCTGCACAACTGATACAATTTAGGGTACACTGTACACTTAAGTTTCATCATTCCACAGGTTAAGGAGTTTATCTTGGGAAGCATTTATGCAAAAGCCTAAGATTTAATGGAGAATTTAGGTCGTGACTCACTTTGTGAAGAGCTCGCAGGAGACATGGCAGCTGGAGAGAGCATGCTAACTTGATTAAGATCCATAGATTGTTTCCGAGAAAGACCAGGAGGCTTGGAAGGAGGAGGAGGAGTTGGGGATTTTAGATGGCCACTTGACTGTTGTGGACTAAAAATATTACCTGAAAAAGCGTAGTTAAAATACATTATTGTTCTGTGAGTATATGTTAACTGGCCTATTTGTTAGGATGCAATTTTGTGACCAATATAATCAGAAAACAACAAAATTATGCTCTTTACACGCATACTGATTTTTTTTTTTTAAATTAAAGCTTTACTAAAGGGATACTGTGTCATTTTACAATAGGCAGAACACATGAAAAGGAGATGCCCAAATCAATAAATAATTACCTGAAGAGCTACTTCCTGAACTTGAAGGTAATTTGATGGGAGGAGGTCGGTGTTTTACACCTTTCCCCAATACTGAAGACTGAACAGAGCCTGATATACTTTCTGGCTGCTAGGAGGAAAGAGAAATTAACACTACCAGAGCAACAATGTAAGCTTCCACATGTTTGACAGAAAAGACAATTCAATTAATTTGTACTGACTTCTCGAAAGCATGACAAAATTCCCTTCAAACACCAAAATAAATCAAAATCTGAAATATTTTAAAAACATAACTTATGACCAACTCTCTTTAGATAAAATGCTTACCAAGAAGCAGCTTGAAAGTGCTTGTAAAATTTAAAACAAGCATAAAGAATTTTAAAAAAATTAAGGACTTTCACTTTTCTTTGCAGTTCTGAAGGCCTTTTAAGTAATTTTCACAAATGGAAGTGTGACACATGCACTTTAAATAAAAGGACAATTTGGTCATACTTGACAAATCCATCGTTCATTATCTATATATGCCTGCCATTTCTAACCAATAGGGATTTAGAGAACAACATCAGATTTCCCAATCCCAGAAGCAGGAATTTAAATACATTCAGGAAAATCCTGAATGTGCATAAATCAATACACATTTTCCCACTGACTTCAGTGGGATCAGAACTTCACTAATCTTTTCAGAGGAAAGGTGCTCCCTTTTTGTTTGCTCTTACAACGCACTTAGGAGGTCAGTTGAACATAAATTAGCTTCCACTAATCAAGCCTGCAGTTTTCAGTCACTCATAACAGACTCTAAATCCATAATTCCAACAGCTGACACTGTCAAAAGTCTCAACAGTGAAACACATTTATAGTCTATACATTTACCTATAAAGCAGGTATCCCATAAATGAAAGTAATGTCTCAACAAACATAGAATCCACAAACTTCTGAAACTGCTAGGGCCTGCAGTGACAGGACAAGGGGTAACGGGTTTAAATTGAAAGTGGGGAGGTTTAGATTGGATATCAGGAAGAAATTCTTCCTGGAGAGAGTGGTGAGGCACTGGAACAGGTTGCCCAGAGAAGCTGTGGATGCCCCATCCCTGGAAGTGTTCAAGGCCAGGCTGGATGAGGCTTTGAGCAACCTGGTCTAGTGGAAGGTGTCCCTGCCCATGGCAGGGGGCTTGGAACTAGATGGTCTTTGAGGTCCCTTCCAGCCCAAACCATTCTGTGATTCTATGAAACTAGAAAATGAGGCATTTAATGTAGCAAATGAAATATTTCAGTGCCGGAGCCTATATCAGATGTGCATGGGCTAACAAATCAGAGCACCCAGCATTGTGCAGAATTACCCTTTTTGGAAAGCTTAGCTTCTGCTGATTCTCAATAAGAGAGACAATGCCTCTACACGTTATAATTGCCTGCTTATAGAAAAAGAATCTTTTGAGGAAAATTCTGAGGACCACCTTTCTCTTCTACTACTATAATCTACTTTCTTTATTCCGACAATAAGACTAATGTCCGATTTAAAAAGGGAGTAGACCATTAAATACTGCAACCTGAGTTTAAAAAGGGAGTAGACCATTAAATAAATACTGCAACCTGAGCATCTTCGGTCCAGCTTTGGTGGGGGCTTGGATGGCCAGACAACCTGACTTCCAGAAGTACCCTCCCACCCAAAGTTATTCTGTGATTTGTATGTACATATATACGTCTACATACATACACACATGTGGATGCATGGGTCTGCACACATACAGAATCATTCTTCATTTCAATAATCAACAACTTCACTCTGAGGGTGCCAGAGCACTGAAATGGGCTGCCCAGGGGGGCTGTGGAGTCTCCTTCTCTGGAGGTATTCAAAACCCTCCTGGACATGTTTCTGTGCAATCTGCTCTAGATGAACCTGCCTTGGCAGGGGGGTTGGATTAAACCATCTCCAGTGGTCCCTTCCAAGCCCCAGCGTTCTGTGATTCATATTCCTTTCTGCAACTGCTGGCCCCTGCATGCTGTTCTTTTGGCTGACACCAAGAACCACCTCTTTCAGAGCAACGTCATTGCAGTTTAAAAAGTAGGTATTTAGGGGAAAGGCGTAGCAAACGAACTAGCCCAACAGATACAAAATTAATTTACTAGTTGGAGCCTAAAACAGAGCTCACCACTGCGGTACTGAATCTGAGCAAGAAAGCCACAAGTAGCAAATAAAGCACAAGGCAATGCCAACAGGCATGAGAATTTGGGAATGCAGGAATTTCTACTGGATGTTTGCATGCAAAAAGACGCACTTTAATTGTTTTGGTGCTGGTTTTTTAATTTTCCTCTTTAAACTAAAGAGAAAATAATTTTAATAACATCTAAATGTAAAAGGAAAGAAAGAAGTTCAGCTACTACACCTGCTTCTATTTTTACCATCCTATAAAGTAAAGCACATAGCTGCGTTTTACTATACTGCACTGTGAAAGGTTCATCTGAACAGGGGCAATGCTACAACAAAACCTTGAAGCTAACTATACTATACACAGCTTAAAGACAATTCCCGCCCCCCCATATTTGAACAGTGAAGACAAACGTGCTTTCCTCTAACTTTTCCCATATACATACTCTGAATTATGACACTAAAGCATTCAAAAAAAAAAATTCAGAATGAAAATTTTAGGTTATTTTCATTTTAAATGTGGATAGCAAATTTATTCTGATAATTAAATAATCAAGTGCACATAAAACAAATGGATGGGTCAATAAACTCACTTCCATTTCCTTCCCTGGAGAAAGATGACTTAGATTGACTGATCCACCTGAATTATGAAACATTTTCACAGGACATTTAGCTTCACTTTGTACTAACTCCTGATACTGGTTCACCACTCTGTAACAAACAATGAGGACAGAAAATTATTAACAACTTTGAACTTCTGAATTAGACACGTATATGTAAACACATAATCGTATGGGTTACACAGTCATATATTACATGTCATAATTTATACTGTGCTGGTTTTAGTTGGGATAGAGCTAATTTTCTTCACAGTAGCTAGTATGAAGCTATATTTTGGATTTGTGCTGGGAAGAATATTACTATCATTATGTTATTTATTTATATTCAATTATTAAATTTTTCTTATCTCAACCCACAAAGTTTCCTTGTCTTTTCCTCTGATCCCCCTCCTTCACTGGGCAGGGGGAGGCAAGAGAGTGGCTGTGTGGTACTTAGTTGCTTAGTGGGGTTAAACCACAACATATAGGTAAGTACATATTATGTAAGTTTTATCTACATAAAACAGAGGCGCACATATATAAAACATATACAGCTATCTTTTGACTTTATGTTCCTGGGGTCTTTTCTTAGATTTATTCCATTTTCACTTTTCTTGTAATCACTTTTTTCCTAATGCAACATACTGTTTGTTTAAGAAACACTCTTTTGGAGCAATATGCAAAACAGTAGACAGAACATTTCCCTTCCCAAAGGCAACAGCAGTTCTTTCAGATACCAGTCAGTGGGGGTCCTTTCTCCTCACAGGGCCCCCAAATCTCTATAAAGCTGCGTCCTCTGCTTATGCTCCCAGTGGAACAATCAATTCCCCTTTAACTTGAGGTTTGTGTCAGCTGGGGACTCACTGAATGTACATCCAAGTACCAGTTGTCACAGCAAAAGTGATCACTCCTCTCTGAGCACCAGGACAGCCAGGTCTCATTCTGAGACACTCATCAGCAGTGATATATCCAAGAATTTAAAGCATCAACAGCATCAGGCAAAGTTTGAAACACTCTTCTACCAAATCAAATACTACTTCTCAGCTAATCTAAGAGAGCTAGGTTGAGGGAATACTGTTTCATGAACACGGACAGAATATACCAAGTGACCTTGCAGACTCAAAAATGAAGTGGAAGACCTGTTGTCACTTGCACTCTGGGCAGACTGAAAGAAAACCTCGATGAAAAGCTGCTGGAGTATTTCCTTTAGCAAACACCTAGTTGCAATGAGCTACACTTTATTCTGGCACAGCACTGCTACAATATGCTGCTACAAGACTCATGCAGGCATAAGCAAGGGTCCCAAGATACATGGCAGAGGAAACGACACAGTGTACTTTCCTCAGCAATTAGGTTTCAGACTGCTTTAAAATTACAGTGGAATCAGAGTAATGAAATGCTGTGTACTTAGAAAGGTGGACCTGCCCTCCCTCCTCATCTTCTGTTTCTTCTCTTCCTAGTCCCTGAAACATAACTGCTTGTTTTGATTAAGGGATGTATGCAACCCAGCAGCAAACATGACCAACAAATCAATCCCAGTTAAAACCAGACCCCTGTGTTATGGTTTTCAGCCAACCAATCCCTGAATCAACTTACAGCACAAACAGTAAAAGTCTCTATCAGCACAAAGGAGACAAGAGAGAATATAAGCGAAGAGCTTCTTGATCAGAATTATCTATTAAAACAGAGAACATGATGATTTATTTTTGATGAAATTCAGAACTTATCTCCCTGCCAGGTACATGGCATTACACTAGATTACACTTAAAGGTCAAATGAACAACTTCCATGATTGCTAATTTACCATACAAAATGTCAAGATGAAATACCTGCTGAGTGCTCTCAGAATTTTGTAATTACTTGTGTTATCAAGAATAGCTGCAGCCAACCGTAACAACACACTTGGAATTTAGGCAGTGGCATAAGCTGTATTCACGCATTTGCTTTCCGCTATTCTTCCTTGCTTGTTAAATATAAAAGCTGCACTCTACATCCTAATTACCATGATTAATTCCTCTCATTTCCCTCATCTGCTCTAGATGTTTCCATAACCACCACATTAACAGCCATAATGGCTAACAGGAACAAAATATATTATTTGGCATCGAGCCAAATGGTTGTACATACAATATTAATTTACCTTTCAGCATCAGTCTTCGACCCAATAAGGAACCTGAAAGGTAGAACGTATAGACACACTTTCAGTCATGACTTGGAATAAAACAACATATTTTCATAATCACAAAACTCCAGAAGAATGTCAACACACTCTTTTCTTCGGACCTGCTGAAAATACAGGAGATCCTATACACATATGGCCTAATACAGTCTCCTTTAAGGATAGATTTACAAAGCAAAAGGCAGAATATGGAAGTTGTGTATTTTGTACTTTCAAAAACTGGAAGTGAATCTCTGCTACAGAACTGCTGCTGTGAAAAGCAGCAAGGGCAGAGTTATGTATAAATCAACATATCAATATGCTCACACTGAAATACAAACATAAGTGCCCTGGGGGTATGTCAAAACCAGCCCTACCTGCAGTATTTTAGCAAACTTCCCATTGTTTGATTTGATTTATGCAAATTCCAATTCCTTGTGATTTTCCAGAACTCCTAAATAAGCATTTCTTTTTTTGTAACACTTATGGCTTGCATACTTGTTAGTTCAAGTGATATTTTTTTTTAAACACTATAGACTTTTCTGTTTCTCTAGCTCAAAAGAAATAAACCCACCTAAAAAAATGGTTCTATTTTACAGAAGAAGAGCAAAAAACATCTTCTACACCTTCCACTTCATGTGACAGTTTTCCAATGAAGTACCATCCAAATTCTGATGAACTTCAGCTGGTAATGTCTTATAAATAATGGGCTAGAGCAGTAGTTTCCAAAAAAACCCAGGCATCTCACCCCTCTAAATCCTTTTAACTCACTCACAATCCTCACTCACAAGTGAGTGAGAGGCTGTGTGGTGCTTAGTTGCTGCTGGGATTAAACTCCAATAGTATGGAGAAAGTCAATAGCTCAGCCTAGGTATAAAACATCCAGAGTATTAAGAAGATTTTAAGAGTTTTAAAAAACAATATATAGGAATTACATACTAGACAATGAAACTAACAGAACTAGAGTTTGCTCAGGCTCACTGCTCCTTCCCGTACTGAAATTTATAGGGTCTATTCTGCTGCACAGGTTCCTCCACAGAGAATCTGCTACACAGTAAAAAGAACAAAGAATAGAGAATCGTTGTAGAACCACAGCCAACAACAGCAGATTCAAGCCAATTCAAAACAACAAAGCTTCTTGGGAGCTTGTGTTTTTCTTCATTATTTATTTAGCCTAAATTTCTGTGCATAAGGGCGAACACAATATAACAAAGTTTTATGGTTTCTCAGCATCAGGCAAATATTGTGAACAATCAAAATTATGAGTAACACTGAAAAAGGGTGCTAACAACATCTTATGTTTCTCCACCATCTCAGGGTTTTTTTTGGGGGGGTGGAGTTTGGTTATTTTTTTGGGGGGTGTTGGGCTTTTTGTCTGTTTGTTGATAGTTTTTTCTTTTTTTACAGTATGTCTTTAATATAAAAGAACATGCAGATTTAACATAAAAGTACATTTCAGATATGAAGGTTCAACATATTTTCTTAAAAAATTTAATTAGCTGAATATTTCATACAAAACTTAAATCAGATTTCTAGCTTGGAAGTACTTTTATGACTTAAAATGGTAAGTAATGTTTGTCTTCCTTTATCTATCAGATCCCAGTACAGTTTACAAGAACATATAACTTACTGGGATGGAGTTAATAGGCTGTCATTTTCCTCATCACCTTTGAGTGTCTGAATTTTACCATAGTACAAGGGATTGCCAAGAGACTGAAAAATGGTCAGTTTTGTTTTTTGAAGCTGATTACCAACTTCACATTCAAACACATAATCATCTTTTATTTCCTAAAAGACAGAAGAAAATAACCACATAAATCTTAAACAAGAGATAACAAACAGATCGTAAAATATGCCACTTCTATACAATACAGTAAAATAACCCCACTCTGTAAGAAAGGTGAGTAACACTCCCTAAGAAGGGGTGCACTATCTAAAATGAAAGTGATTTGAGAACTTATCTAAAGGGATAAGAGGAAAAAAGAATCTCTTAAAAATATAATAATATTACATGCCCTAAACAATCATGTAGATATGGAAAGGCAGACTGGGCAAACAAGTACAGAAAGCAGTTTTATATAAATTATGGCAATGAAAACAAAGTCTTCTGAGTAAAATGTTGGAGATGAAGATTAAGTTCTATAGGAAAGTATTACTTTTTGGAAATATTAACTAGAGAGACATGATAGATGCTATTAATAAATAACATTCCGTCTCCAAAACAACAAGGTATTAATGAATTGGTTTATGGTTAATAATATTAAATTATTACTTCTTATCAAATCATGTAATCTGTGACAAAAATCTTAAGGTTCAACTTCAATATTGCAGAAAGAGCTTTTTGTAAGAGGTATTTAACATTACTTCATCTCTTTCCAAGTTTAACATTTTAACAGAAGCTCTTTGCCATCAATCTTTGAGTATCTGAGTGAAGAAAACAATTTGTTGTGCAGAGTACTGCTCCCTGTAAATTAGTATGCCTTTTTTACTATACAGTAACAGCACATCTTACTTGGGAGATTCAAGTTGCTTTTCCTTGCATTTCTGGAAAACCTGAGGAAATTACAAGACTGATCACATGCATGCTGCACTGTATAAAATTACAAGTATCTGTGGTAATCTTTCTGTGTCTATATAACATATGGAAGATTAATTAAACTGGAGGAGAGACGACTATTCCCACATGACTTAGATTTTGTTGAAATAAGAGGCATTTTAACTAGAGACAGAAGTTTGGCCAAAAGTCTGAACTACTCACATGTGCTGGCCAGACAGTTGGTTGTGAGTCATCAGGCTTGATAGACTTTTCCACTTTGGCATATTTTTCCACCTTAAAGAAGATGGAGATAACAGAAAAGAAAGAACAGTTGTCAGATTGGGCCAGAGTTAAAGTCAACCTAACACAAATTCTTGTTTTTAACAGTGGTAACATGATAGTCTATAAAAAGTGAATGCAAGAAACAGACAGGGATAGCTTGATACTTCATATAGCATCCCCTGTTTAGGGGATGCATTCAGAAAAAGCAAATTGGAGAACTTTCAAAAGTCTACATTTATTCTGTTACTCTGTATTTGCTATGTTAAACTTAAGTGTGAAACACAGCTTCAGACTAGAGACTGAAACCACTTCCTGCGATGTGGAACGGTTAAGAAGTGTCAGAATATCAGTAACTCCTAAAGACTCTGATAAATCAGGTACATCACTGCTGAAGTGCAAAGGGGAGAAGGTTTGCACCAACCTACAGCATGATTTAATGCACAATGTGCACTCTCGCCAGTCCTATTAAGTCCAAAGCTACAATCCTGTGTAGTCTACTGAGTCCCTTCTGTACACTAGTAGTATGTGTTTTGGCAGCGCCAGAAACTGAGAACGTAAATGTCCCGAGAGAATAATTCACACACAGCAATCAGAAGAATTCCCAACTAGAATTCTCTGTATAACAAAACACTATTGAAAATATTGTGTCCCATAGTATCATAACATGTCTAAAAGAAGAATTTCTACCAAGTTGAGAAGTGACTAATTTTTAAATAATTTCCTTACCTCATTTCTTTTGCTATTTTTTGTGTATTATCAGACAACTTCAAATAGACACGTGCTCACTGAACTAACAGGTGAACAATACTAAAGGCCTGTTGGCACTGTTTTATCTCACACAAACTATCATGTTAGAATTGCAATGTATTCCAGTGTGGTTTAGCTTGTGTTTATTGTACTTTACAGGACAGAAAAGTCACTCTAAAGGTTAAAGTCACTCCCATTTTTTAAAAGGTCATTCTTTGATACTGGATGCTCTCTAGTCTCTTCTTCACACAATATAACATTCAATACAATTGCTGATCATTGTTAATGGTAACAATTGGACTTACATCCACTTCAGAAGGTGCAGTCAGGTAGCAGGGATTCTGTTTCCACATATCTACGCACTGGAAGACGAAAAAGCAGTATTAATGTATTAAATGATTAAAATAAATAGTTTGAAGTATACCCCCCTACGTCTCAGAACACTTACATTTCCAGCTTTAGAAATTTTGAGGTCGTACTGCTGGGCCCCTTTCCTCTCCTTTCTTTTCTGTAAGTAGTCAAGTAGTCTGAGCTGAGGTGGAGTTGAATAGTGAGCTACTTCCTGCTGTCTGTTCAGAGACGACCTTGAGTACCTTTTGAAGCACCTATGGTAAAATGACAGATAAGCTTGTAAAACCAGCAAAATGAAATTCCCCACTGCTGGTGTACAAACACCAAAGTACGCAGGGAAACGCTACCTGCACTAAGAGACAGGTTCTGAAATATTAATTTAAAATTGCTATTCTGGATTACACTGTAAAACTCTTGATTTCATATTTTTAAAAATTACTACTATTCTGTTCATGTGTTTCAGCACTAAGTATGGGGTTATTTTTGAAACGCATATATTGTCAAAATGAGTAAGAAATTGAGAAGTTGCCAAGCTTAAAATATTTGTGTATTATCATTTCAGTTCTGTCAAAGAATCTTTGTACTGCTCACATAACTAAGTTCTAAACATAGGAAGTACTCTCCATCCTTTGTCTCGTGCCAAACCCATTGGCACATTAATGCTGTTCTGGACGTTAACGTAACACCTTCAGCTGTTTTTCTAGTGGAATGTTTGTTGACCACAAAGCTCTAATTTTAAGGACTGCTTGATCATTTTCACTGACTATACATTTGCCTAGTATTTCAATGCAAATCCAGTTTTAAATATTTCAGTAATTTTGACAGACCATTAATACATTATCATTCCACAGAGCAAACACAACTCTTCTATAGCAGAAGAAATGTGAACCATTTCAAGCTTTTGTGGGGAAAAAAGTAAACCACCATGCACAAAAAGTGAAACATTTTCAACATTTTATAAAAGTAATGTGGAATGCACTATGTAAGTTTTCTAGGATCCTAATATGCCCACACTTTTGTTTAACCTGAATGTCAAGCATATAGACAATGTCTCAGATTTCCTCATCCAGGGTTAAACTTGTACCTAACAAATCGAAGACCAATATGCAGCATATCCATTTACGTATTTTACATTACTGATGTGTCATCTGACTCAGCTTACATATGAATTGTGCAAAAAAAGGACAAAGTCAAAACTGCAGTATAACGTATTATGTTAAGAAAATAATATACATACAATTTGATATACAAAAATAATATTACAAGCCTACTACTAACTGAATTATAGTACAATACTGAGCACTTAAAAATAAGTATCATTTCTCAACTGTTCCTTATGTTCCTAATATTTAAGTAGATACTGCACTGGAGAAGCAAAATTTTCAGGTAAAGCATTACTTATACTCTGAAACACTTCATAAGGTCAGAAAGTCTCAATATACTTCACACTGAAGACTACCGTTTCATGGGGCGAGTATTCATCTTCTGCTTGTTGTACAGGAGTCTGTTTGTAGTACAGGTCACTGCTATTGAAGGATCCAGACACAAGGGCTCTGCTGTAGCCAAAATAAGTTGGCTCTCAAGTAGGAGCTTATCCTCCTGCAATACACATAGCTATTAATACATGTGAAAAACTGAAGACTTGTACACTAATTACACTGACACACGCCTAGGTATATGTGCACATTATCTTAATAACAAATAATTGTGTGGGATATCAAACAAAAGAAAATATTCAACAGTTAAGTATCACTAACCATTATAATGAGCTACAGAGTTAGGGTGGGGTTTCCAATAGGAAAAAGAAACCCTTCTGACAAGTAGGAAACATGTTCTGGTTTTTGGTTTGTGTTTTCTTTGTTTGTTTGTTTTAAACACAGTAGTAGTGGCAATGAAATCCATTTTCTGTCATTCATTTATGCTGATGGACTGACAACCACTGGCATAATAATGATCTACTTGGAACAGGTTGCCCAGAGAAGCTGTGGATGCCTCATCCCTGGAGGTGTTCAAGGCCAGGCTGAATGAGGCTTTGAGCAACCTGGTCTAGTGGAAGGTGTCCCTGCCCATGGCAGGGGGGTTGGAACTAGATGGTCTTTAACGTCCCTTCCAACCCAAACCATTCTGTGATTCTATGACTTTAGATTACAGTGTGAAATGGATTTGAGCACAAGCATGGCTATGAAATACAAAGGAGCACGTTGAGTACACCATGCTATCCAGCATTTAACTATTACTGTAAAACCTTAGTTATTTAGGATTCCTTTTACTGTAACAGTATCAATAACAAAAGGATGCTAGAGGAGCAACAGTGTCATTAGACTCCAACTGCTGTTCGGGGGCTGTGTGCTGAAGATGAATGAAGGAAAGTAACCTAGTTAGAGTAACTCCAATACTGTCATTTTGCATTACCAAAACTTAAGGTCTGATTCTACAAAACTTTTAGCAAATCCTATTGTTTTCTAAGGCATCTTGTGGGAAGATGCTATTAACAAGTTAATTCAGCAGCTCTCTGGAGCATTTACCATGCAGAGCTACACACATCACTGCCAGTCTGAATTAACAGAAAACATAATCAGTTTTGTTTATCAGATTTTATTGACCAAATAATTAAAATTTATTTTACTGCGTATATACCACATCGCTGTAAAGTTTTAAAATAACTGCTAACCCACCTGTGTCCATTTGTGGTTGTCACTTGTTATAGAATGCACATCACAAATTAAAGTCTGAGAAAGAAGACATAATGGTAATTAGCTTTCAACTGAATAATAATATTTCCTATGTTCAGTAATAGTTCATAAGCAGTCTAGGAATTACTGTAACATTGAGGAATGACTTAAAATACTCCTTACTTGCATTGTAGGACGCAAAAGAATGTGCTTGCTTTGGTACGTTGGAGATTTCATGTTACCAGACTGCCTATAGTCACGTATTTCTGCTATGACACATCCACAATGAAAAATATTAACCTAGTTGAAACAAAAAGAACAACTTGTGAATAAACAATATTTACCAGTCTGCCTCAGCCCCTGCCTCCAAAAATGCAAATTTGTGGAGGCTGTCTCCATTCCCATGCAGCGCTACAGGCTTAGGGACGAGTGGATGGAAAGCTGTCAGGCAGAAAAGGACCTGGAGGTGTTGGTCGAGAGCAGCTGAGTATGAGCCAGCGGTGTGCCCAGGTGGTCAAGAAGGCCAGTGTCAAGAAGAAGAAGTGTCAAGAAGGCATCCTGGCCTGTGTCAGGAAGTGTGGCCAGCAGGACTAGGGCAGTGATTGTCCCCCTGTTCTGGGCACTGTCGAGGCTGCACCTCGAATTCTGTGTTCAGTTCTGGGCCCCTCACTGCAAGAAAGACACTGAGGTGCTGGAGTGTGTCCAGAGAAGGGAACAGAGCTGGGGAAG